CAAAATGCATGTGAGTACTCAAATGAAAGCTCTTGATGAGTGTAACATCAGGATGAGCTTACATCTCTAAAAATATCAATAATTAAGAAATGACCTTGTATTTTATTCACGATTGACACTTTTAAAGATATAAGCTCATCCCGATGTTACACTCATCAAGACCTTTCATTTGAGTACCCACATCAATTTTTCATATATTTATGTATATTATATATATGTATATATATAAAAAATATATCAAAATGCTTGTGGGTACTCAAATGAAAGCTCTTGATGAGTGTAACATCGGGATGAGCTTATATCTTAAAAAATGTCAATAACTAAGAAATGACATTGTATCTTGTGCACGATTGACATTTTTAAATATATAAGCTCATCCCGATGTTACACTAATTGAGACCTTTCATTTGAGTACCCACATCATTTTTTCATATATTTATATATATTATATACATATATGTATATATGAAAAATATATGAAAATGCATGTGGGTACTCAAATGAAAGGTCTCAATGAGTGTAACATCGGGATGAGCTTATACCTTTAAAAACGTCAATAGTTAAAAAAGTACAGTGCAATTTAACAAAATTCATTATTTAATAATGTAAAATTTTATTTGTTTATACTTCACAAGTCACAGCAGTCACACAGTGACTGCAAGGTTGCTAGTATTCTATATTTCTTTACTAAAGAGCTTTTTTTGGGTATTCATCACATTGCAGTTTGCGGGACTTGTTACACTCACTTCGACGCCCTTGAACTGTGGACCTGCACTCAGAACTCTTTTGGGACGTCCTTCTAACGAGAAATTGTGCCTTCTTTTACCTGTCGGGTATCCGGCTGTCGATGCAACGGTACCTAAACTTGAGCGCAAGCCTTTGGAAGATATTTTAATTGAGATTTAATATTATTTAAAAAAAAAAAAAATATTACTCAAGCGCTAAAACTCTTCCATTAAATTCTATCGAGTTTTGCGCTGAAGCATAAAATAATAATAATAATAATAATAATAATAATGAAATTATTTTTTAAACGGTTAAATAATATAATACTTATTTTAGAAACTAATATTTATTAGCAATTTGCGTACAATTATTATTTTAAATAAGCGGTATAAAAATCGAATCACCAAGAAATAATTATTAAAGAGACAATAAATTCATTTAAGATGATTTTATAATTTTATATCTGGTGATTTAATTGTCAATTAATCAATTATTTAGATTTTATAATAATATACAATTCCATGCAATTTCTTGGAGTATTGAGGGACCAGTGACTTAAATTAAGTACAATTTGTGTATAAAATACAAAAATACTGAGCTAAATAACAATTTTTCAATTAAAAATAAAACGAATTAAAAAAGAAAAATTATTTCAATAAATGTTATTATTATAGATAACTATTTTGTCACTTTTTTTTCTTAAACTTTTTCTTCCTTTTTCTCGCTTTCACTCTCAAGTTATTTCAAGTGTGCCATCGAGCTGCACAATATTTATTTCTGTTTTAGTTTTTATTTTTAAAATTTTTAAAAGCTGAGTATCATAATTATACAGATAAAGACAACCCTCTATTTTGGCTAATTTCGACGGTCTAATTACCAATTTGTCTAACTCCTTATTTATTAACATTTTTATGTAGCAATAATCCAATTATAAATTATTTGAATGATTCAAACCTAAACATTATATCTCTATTAGATATTAAATGATTTTTTAAAATGATAATAAATTTTTAACTAATTATTTTTTTCGTACAAATAAAAAATTCTCTAAAATAGAGTTAGACAATTTGCTAATTAGAATTTCAAAACACAGTAACTAACAATTTTAAGATTTTTAAAGATTTTTATTAAAAAAAAATTTGCCCGCCTAATTGATAAAAAAAAAAATACTTTAATATAAATATTAAAAAAAAAAATACTTGAAATTAAGATTTAAAAGTTATAAAAAATTAGGTATAAAAATTTTGCAGTTACTGTGTTTTCAAATTGACCAGCCGTATTATTTATAATTATCTGTTTATGTTTATTTAAGACAATATTAATAATTATCAATTATTTGTTTTAATTAATTAAATAATGACAGTATAATTATAAGTCAATTGTTATTAAAAGTTAAAAAAATAATTTTGAAAGAAAAATCTGTCAATTATTAAACGCAAAAAAAAAAATTAATTTTAATCTCTGATTTTTTTTTTTAATTAGAAGGTATTGTCGTATCTATAATACAATATTCTATTTTCAGTTTCACTATATTGTCCATATTTTTTTTTTTAGACCACATTTGTTTATCAATTACTCAAAATTTTTTTTTCTTCAATTCAAATATGTATCATATATTATAATAATTAATTAATAATTACATGTTATGTTACGACAAATCTTGAAAGACGTTTCAACGGTTTCGATTGATTTGCGAATCAGTCTCCATCTCTGGCTACATAATTATTACACATAAAAAAAAATCTAACAAGTTTGGCTATTGATCAAAGACTTTCAATTACATGGTTACAATTTTAATGGACACTTTCGTTTGTATTTATTTATTTACTCATTAATTAATTTATTAATTTATTTATTTAATTATTTATTTCTTAATTATCAACTGCCTTGAATTAATTAATCCGAACTCTGGTAGCATTGTCATTTATAAAACTTTACAATATCAAGATTAATTAGATACATAGATTACTTATTAATTGTGAGATCACCGTCGCCTGAGTCGTAATTATAAATTAACGAGAGTGTGAAACTGACAACTATTACATACTTTTTTTTTACGCATATTTTTTTTTTTTTTTTTAAATTCATTAATTAATTAATCAATTACTTCTCTCATAATACAATAAAAATATTAATAATTATTAAAATATAAAAAAATGTTAAAAGTTTATCGGTAAAAACTCATTGTTAAAAATAAAAAAAAATTGAATAATAAATCAAAATAAAATATGAACACGCGTTAAATAATTTAATTGAAAATTGTGGAATAATAAAATTAGCTGATAAAATAATTTAAAAAATTGCTCTTTCTTTCCGAGGGTTACCCGATCTTCCGCAGACGGAAATAAGAGAGCGAGGCCCTTGCTTGTGCGACGAAAACAGCTGCGTCAGAAGTTTATTGGTAAAGTTTAAACACGCGTTCATAAGTATGGCCATCTTCAGCACCTACATGACTTTTATTTGTGATTTTTTTTGAGTTACTGTGGATCGACAAGATAGTTAATCTTGTCGTTCAATCTCGCCGATGAAACTCAGCTAAACATAGTCGACAGGACCAGGAACCTTCTGGTGGAGATGCAAGAGGTGGAGACAGACAATACATGTGATATCCACGATCACAGTCATCACAGAACAGCAGCTGGTCCTAATTTTTTTTTTGTTTAAAATACGTTTTTTTAATTATTATTTTCTACGTTTAAATTTGAGATTTCATTTTTGTAAATTAACAATTAATAAGAAATTTTTGAATTATAAATTAAAAACTTTCAAAAAAAATATTTGAATGAAATTTTTATCTAAAAATAATTTTTTATTTCTTAATCTATATTATTAAGAGAATAAGAAAAATTTTGTCTCCACGATAGTCATGAAAAAATCGGTTTTTTTTTTAGTGAAAATTAGTGCCTTTTCAATTTATTATGATGAGTATTTAGGCTGCATTCGAAAATACTCTATCTCTCGATACATAATTAAGAAATGATCAATATTTCCGCCGTAATATTAAAAATTTGACACTCTTAATTATTAATTGTTGTTTTAAAATTAAAACAAAAATCCCGACTCTAATTATTGTACTATTATTCAAAACCCAGTAGCTATTTGCTCACTTCATATCTGTTAAATTAAAATTAAAATACAATATGAATTAAAAATGTATATCAAAAATAATAGAAGCAACCGTAACAAAACGTAATCCACTCGGTTATTTTACAAACCGCTAAATTTAAATATCTATTACAGCGCGTTCGCAAAACCACTGACAGTATTTCCGTATTTTTATGACGCGCCGATGCATATTTATTTCAATTCTGTTTTCACATCGCACCCACTCGTTTATTCTACCGATATATATATAGTACAGTACAGTATAGTGTTGTATTGTATGGTTACCGTACCGCATGTAGCACAACAAATTTTCAGTTAAATTTTCAGCAGTCCCGAATCACCACCGCGAGTTGCCTCCCTTTACTAGAGAGTAGTATAGGACGTTGTCACATAACATACTAACCTTTGCCTATTTACACACTAAACAATGAACGAGTACGATAACAAACAGCGAGCATTGCCAACTAAGCTCCAATGAGAAAACGAATACCGCACTGTTTCCACTCGTTACTCCTCATCCTATTCCGTCCTGTCCAGTGGATTACGCATTCGACGTGCACTGATCAGAGTCCTTTTACGTCCACGGAGATTCGCGGTGTGAATGCTACTCCCCTCGCAAAACCATTATCCCAATATTATCCCCGTAAATAACGCTCCTCTGAACAATTTACACCTGCTGGACACATAAACGTAAACACAATACTCGACTTTTTGACATGTAATTAATTAATAAAATCAATTAGAGCTTAAAAAGGTTAATTGGCAAGTCTATTAAAAAGTAGAATATTATTTTGAATGATTTTCAGTAGAAGTGATCAAGAAAAGATTCATTTTTTTTTTTGGAAAAAAGTATGGGATGTTTTGATATTAATTTATAATGTTAAGAGAATAAGAAAAATTTTGTCTCCAGGATAATCATATGATAAAATCGGTATTTTTAGTGACATTGCAAAGGTCTTGACTTGAATTTGTGCCTTTTCAATGTTTAATATCAATCTTACCGATAGTCAATTTATTATAATAATTATTTAGGCTGCATTCGAACTCTATTTCTAGATACATAATTAAGAAATGACCTTGTATCTTGAGAACTATTGACATTTTTAAAGATATAAGCTCATCCTGATGTTACACTCATAAAGAGCTTTCATTTGAGTACCCACATCAATTTTTCATATATTTTATATATATATATGATATTTCTGATATTTGTGAAATATATAAAATATAAAAAAAATTCATGCGGGTACTCAAATAAAAGCTCTTGATGAGTGTAACATCGGGATGAGCTTATATCTTGAAAAACGTCAATAGTTAAGAAAGTACAGTGCAATTTAACATGAGCTTGTATTTCGTGAAATATTGACATTTTCAGAGATATAAGCTCATTCCGATGTTACACTCTTCAAGAGCTTTCATTTGAGTACCTACATGCATTTTGATATATTTTTCATATATACATATAGGTAATATATATATAAATATATGAAAAATTGATGTGGGTACTTAAATGAAAGGTCTTGATGAGTGTAACATCGGGATGAGTTTATATCTTTAAAAACGTCAATAGTTAAAAAAGTACACTGCAATTTAACAAAAGTCATTATTTAATAAAGCAAAATTTTATTTATTTATAGTTCACAAGTCACGGCAGTCACATAGTGACTGCAAGGTTGCTAGTTGCTATAAATATTATATTGATAAATACTTACAAAAATAGATTCACTTTAAAATATTTTAAAAAATATCCCAGGATTTTTTTTTACAATAAAATTCATTTTTTTAATCGCTCTATTTTTATTTTTATTTAAATTCATTGTAAACATAAAGCGTATTAATAATTATAATAATATCTTTAGTTGTCAGTTGTCCTAGCGTCGAAATTATGGAAGTTTCTGTTGTGGTTTAAAAAAATAGGATTTTTTTTTTTAATTATCTTCATGAGTAATAAAAAAATACCAATGAGACTAATTATAATGAAATTTTCTGTTGCAGGTCAAATATATTTAAATGAATAAATAAACTAGCCTAGGCAGCTGCTGTTCCAGATCTAAAGCATAAATAACGTGGACTCA